CAGAATGATATCCACTTGTCCAAGATCCTTAATCTTAAATGTGGAAGATAAAAACCTGTCCTTTTCTTTTATTCCATACATATGATTACTTATAATCACCATATCGTCAACATATAAACAAATAAATATCACATAACTTAGAATACAAAACTATATCCACACTATTATTTTTAAAACCAAATTATATAATAGCTAAGTCAAATTTGTCATGCCACGTCTTAGGCGTTTGTTTCAAACCGTATAAAGACTTCACCAACTTGCTCACCTTATGTTCATTTCCGAAAAGAACAAACCCTTTGAGTTGTTCCATATAAACCTTCTCATCGAGATCTCCATTTAAGAATGCCGTCTTGACATCCATTTGATGAATATGCAAGTTATATATAGAAGCCAATACGAATAATAACCTGACTGGTGTTATTCTAGCTATCGGTGCATAAGTGTCATAATAATAGATTCCTTCATTTTATCGATAGTCTTTAGCTACTAGTCTAGCCTTAAAGGTATTAAGAGAACTATCAAGATTATACTTTCTCTTGAACACCCACTAACATCCAGTAAGTTTTTGGATCTTGGTAGTAAATCGACAAGTTCTTATCTATTATTTGACATAATTGAATCTATTTCATCTTTAATTGCTTCTTTCCAAAAGATGTTACGAGAAGCTATAGCCTCTCTATAGGTCTTAGGATCAATTTCCACTTGTAGAACAAAAGGAATTGTTCTTACAACATTCTTCCCGCTTCGCTCTACTAAGTAAAAGGAAATAAGCTAAGAGTCAATTTCATCTGATCCCAAATATTTCTTAATTCGAGTTCTTTTGTTTCTTCGAGGTTCACTAGATTTATTAACACCATCAGAAGATGTTTCATCTTGTGTTCCACTAGAGTTTGGAATCTACTTATGAATTTTCCTTAATTCATTATCCTAAAATAATGAATTCTCAAAAACCTCTACGTCACTAGATTCAATAATCACATTGGTTTCCAAATTTAACCATCTATATGATTTACTATTATTTGGCATATCCAACAAAGACACATTTGATACCTCATTGACCCAATTTGGTCCTATTCGAGTTTGTATTTTTATAGTAAGTAAGATACCCTCGCACTTTGAAGTATTTAATGTTAGGTTTTCTTCATTTCCATAATTCGTAAGGCGAAAAATTCGTAAAATTTGAAGGAATCCTCTTTAATATTCTACATGCACTCAGCAATGCTTCACCCCATAAATTAAATGAAAACTTAGCATAGTCAACATGGCATTTATCATTTTAACAAAAGTTCTATTTTTTTTTTTCAATTAACCCATTTTGTTCAGGTGTCTTAGGTGCTGAACATTGATGGATAATTTCTTCTTGTTCACAAAACAAATTAAAATCACTCAAAAAGTATTCACCTACTCTATCATTTCTTACTGTGTTTATTTTCTCACTTAGGTGATTTTCAACTTCATTTTTATATATTTTAAACCTAATAAATGCCTCATATTTATGCTTCATCAAATAAACATATGTATACCTGGAGAAATTATCTATAAAGGTAATAAAATACCTATTTCCAACTCTAATTAACATGTCATTTAATTCGCATATATCCATATGAATTAATTATAGAATACTAGAAGTTCTTTTTACACTTTGATATGGTTTCCTAGATATTTTAGATTCGACACATGTTTTGCATTTAAATACATCATTTTCATTGTATAAAATAAAATTAGATTTTAACATTCTTTTCATAGTATTTTTTCCATGTGTCCTAATCTAGCATGCCACAAAGTAAAAGAATCAACAATATAAGTAAGATCAACTTTATTATTATTTAACTTTTCAATGGTAAATAGTTTAACTATTTCTTCACAAAAATAGCCTTTACCAACAAATTTCCCGTATAGGGATAATACAAGTTTACCAGACTCATAAACACATTTGATATCCGGTTTATCTAAGAGATTACCGCTAACCAAATTCTTATTCATATCAAGACCATACAACACATTGGTCAAGGCAACAGTCTTGTCGGAAGTGAAGGTGATCTCTACATTTTCTTTCCCAATTATTTTGAATCAAACTTTGTTACCCATCTGAATCTCTTGATCTCCATCCACATCATGACATGTCTTGAATAATGAATTATTATATGACACACGTACGATTACACATGTATCATGCCACCAACCAAGGACCTTTCCCTTGATAGCGTTGATTTTGCTTATGGTGGCCACTATGTTGCCTTCCCTGATGGAGTTTACCTTTCTTTCGGAGTTGTTTCTTTTACGATGTCGACATTCGTTTTCATAATGTCTAGGTTTTTCACATACAAAACAACCACCTTTGGTATTCTTCTTCGACTTGTTAAAGTTCCTCAAAGGCTTTTATTTGTTGGATTTATTAGAAGGCTTGATTTTTTCGATGGCATCGGCCTTTGAAATGCCTTCATAAGAATTTTCATTTTTATCTCTTACTCTAGACTCTTCCTCGATGCGAAGATGCTTTTACAATTGTTCCGAAGAGTAATCTTCAGAACTATGTATAATCTTCCTCCGATATCCCTACCAAGTCCTCAGGAGTTTTACAATGATTGCTCTTATTTGAAAAGTTTCTGGAATTTCAATCTTGACTGCCTTCAACTTGTTGACCAGTACTTGTAACTCATGTACTTTGGGAATAAGTGGAATGTTATTAAGAAACTTAAAACCAAAAAGCTTTGAAATAAAAAATTTCTTGTTACCTTCTTCTTCGACTTTGTACTTACTCTGTAATGCATTTCAAATTTCTTTCACTGAGGATGTATTGGTGTAAAGATCATACAATCTATCAAACAATGAGTATGTGACCACGACACATGAGTTCATCTTCTTGGTGGTCGTCTTTCTGATTTTATATCTTCAATTTCTCCATCTGTTCATTCCGATAATAGTGCCAATTCCAAATCAAGATTGTAGTATATTTTCAGTACCGTTAATAGAAATGTCAATTTATCCTGCCATCTCGTGAAGTTGGCATCGTCAAAATGATAGTCGAACAAGATCTTGATTCATCAATTTAATTGTCGTCGTAGTGGTTTCATTCTCTATTACAAAGTATCATGTGAGATTGTTGGAAAATATATCTTTCACCAAAGATAAATGGAGAAGAAACAAGAATAAACCCGGGAAGAATATAAAAATAGAAGGCCTAAACACGGTATCGTTGTCCTCAAACCATAATTGCCCCCTTTCCAATTGAAATTAGATGCTTGAAGGGTAATTGACAAATGATTTGTAGGAATTATCAAGCCTTTAGAAAGATTAATCACTGAAGCATTAAGTGAAGTGGGATAGCTCCCTTCAAAATGTATTACTCTCCTCTCTTTGCCCAAATTAGTCTCATAAGCTTCATTGCAATCATGTTTGACTTTACAACCCTTCATTCACCAATCATTTTTCTACAGACAATTTATGTAAAATAATCTCTAGTGAAATCATATAACTTAGGCCCTGTTTGGCCCACATTCTTCCAAAAAAAAAAAAAATTCTTAAACGGTGATTTGACATCATTTTAGCCACATATTCTTCAATAAAATAATATTACACACAAATTCAAAATTTTTTCTTATTTTTTAATCACGCATTTTTCATCAATATACTATTAAAAAATCTCTATTGAAAATAATGAGGCTTAAACAAGGGATTAAAGTGATGAGTGAAAATTTCAAGGTAAATAGAAATAGAAAATACTGATAGTCCAAACAATATAGGGGAACGAGACAAGTAAACTATATTAATGAGACACGAGAAATAATCTCTTAAACATCGATGCTTGATAGTGATAATTCTCGAGGACACAATATGATATTATGTATGGACATCCTTGATCATCAATGAACGGTTGCACGAGTATGCCCCCTTGAGTGAGGAATTGACCAAAATATCGTGACTCGAGTCAAACAAAACAAGAAACAATTAACGAAAAATCAGAATCTCTTTTTTATTATTATTATTATAAATATGAATTTTTCTAATCTTGATAATCGTGCTTAGAAATAGAATAGGTTGATGGAGGGTTAAATTTGAATATTTGGATGTGCCCTATTTTATTCACAAGACTTGGCTGACGTTCAGTCCACATTTTCATTTTCCTTTAAATTCATTTTCAATTATATACTCTCTCAATAAAATAACTTTGTATGTGAACAACTTTTTCTCTTCTCTCACATTTCCAAAAAAATTAATTTTCACAAAATTTAATTTAAAATATGTTCTAATTTTCTTATCTTATTTTTCACTAAACTTTGTCTTTGTAAACTAACACAACGTGACAAACACTTTTGTACTTCATTGAATTAATAATCATAATAAGATTGAGAAATAAAAAAAAATTCCTTAAAACCCAAGTTTGGTCTGCCAAATTCCTTTAGTTGTCAGAGATGGAGTTGGGTATAGTGACCAAAAAGTTAAAAGACTGGAAAATTCATTTCACTATTACAATCAATCACGAAAAATTTTAAATTTATATTTTTCTCCAAATGATAAAAGACTAAGCAATAATTTAAAAATATAAAAAAGAAGAATAAAACTAGAATACTAATAACGTTAAACCAATACTCCCTTTATCACATAAAATTAAATCTGTTTCTATTGTGACAAAGATTATGAAAATGTAATTAATATGATTGGAAATATAAATTTTACTTACGTTTTTGTAAATACGTCTTTACATTAAACAATAATTTAAATATGAGTAGTTTATAGTTATTGATAAAAAGTCACATTACATATGGACATATTAGAAAATGAGGAAATCAACTATACTCTTTCTAGGAAAGTAAAATATAATTTGGAACAAACGAAAAAGGAAAGTGTCTACTTTTATGAAATCAATGGAGCAACTACGAGCCAATCATATATTGGTAATACCAAAGACATGTAATTCATTAGGATAAAACCTTAAAGTCTGTGCAGCCACATGATTAATCCATGTTTTCTGCTGACCTACAATAGTTTCCTGCGCTGAATTTTAGAAAATTCTTACAATGCTACACTATGTTGCTACCAACTGATGTTATTGTTGATGGTGGTGGTGAAGAAGAAGAAGTTATTGATGCATCAAGTCCCTTTTCGCCTCGACTTACCAAAATATCTGCCTCGACACCATTACTTCCAACACTAGTTCCGGGCATTGTGCCTTGGAGAAAATCGTTTTCATCGAACGAACTATCAAAAATGGAACCAATATCATCCTCGAAACCTTTTTCATCAAACAATCCCAACAACTCGTTGTTTTCAAGAGGAATGTTGGGAATTTGAAGCGAATTGAGGTCTAAGTCAAAGCACAGATTGTCCCAACAGTGCTCAATATCCTTGGTGGGGTCCATCATCACCATTACATCCGAATCAATGGAATCAGTCATCTCTAAGTTTGAGTCACTATGTTGAACCATTTGATTGTATTCCTCTTGTTGCTGGTATTGATGATCAATTGTCTTGTCTACTAGCGTTTGCGGGATGAGCTTCGAAGTTTCTTGATCCATTACTTGGAACTCGAGCTCTGAAGTTTCTTGATTCGTTGCTTGGACATCATCCTGATTTACTTCGACCTCCGGTGTGAATTTTTTCAACTTGTCTGTATATTTGCTAATGTCAAAGTTGGTTACTGCATTAGGCCCCCTGAATTCTATTGCTGCCATATCATATGCTGCCGCAGCTTCCTCTTGGGTGCCTTTGAGAAAGAGCCAAAACAATTACAAAACGTGTAATTAAATTCACAATATACCGAATTCGAAATATAAATTGCATGAAGAACTCTGTTTACTTTGCCCTCTCTTGTAAAGCAATCTAGAAGTGGTTCAAAGGGTCTTATATCTATAAATTATGTGACACGAAGGTGAAGGGGTCCAATGTTAGTTGTCAATTGGATTGGATCCGCTCAAATCCTCTTTCACCCATCTCTGTTAAACTCATTCTATCTCGTTCGAGTAGTTGACTTGACTATCAAAGTGTAAACGATCGTTAGACATTATTTTGGGAATGTGACCTTTGCACCAAACAATATGTTCCAGCGTGCAAGTAATGTTTAGGCAAACTAAAAGGTGGTCGAGATTTTGTTGATCACTCGATTAGACAGATTTTGAGGTCAATAGGTTTCTTTAGGTCTTTTAGTACCTCGCACGTTGATTTAGACAACACAATTGGCCAAAGGCATAAAAAAACTGATGACTTTGAACTCAAAAAGCTACACAAGCAAGAAAAACTATGGTAAACAGATACTATTCGAATATCATACAATATATCTTACCAAACACTCTGAGCAGCACATGAACCTCCTCGAACCTTACCAAGGAGTCGATTGGGCAATGTTGATAACAAATATCTAGGAATTTATAAAATGATGGACTTGCCCTTTATAGTGATGGTAGAATAATGGCTAGATCAGCACTTGCAATCTATAGCAAGTGTTTGAATTTGGGTAATAATATTATGCAAACTAAACTGAAAATTTTGATAAAAAAGATTGTATAGTGAACTAAATATCTGACAACATCACGAGACATAGAAGGAAATATAAATTAATTAAGATGAAATCTGTAGAATGTTTTAATCAAATCGAGTTTAAAGCATATGTCAAGCAATCAAAGAATTCAGTCCTTTCTTCCACTCTTGTTGCTAATTTCCGAGCCCAGAAAGTGTAAAGTGAATTGAGTAATAAGAAGTCTCGAGACATTAGGAAAAATATAAGAAGTCTACGAGTTTAAGCTCTGAGAACCCTGATGCCACTTGTTTTCTAGTTGGGCCAAGCCTAGCCGAGCAGAGTCATATGGGGTCCATGAAATTTGCTTAACCCTTTAGGCGAATGGATTTGGTCACTTATCACCCAAATAAACAAAGGGAAATATAGAATAAGAAAGTGCAGCCCCTCAAAGGGAATGTCCAATTTTATAAAGAAAAACTATCCTTTTGTACGGGCCTCAGAGATTGTCTAAGTCAAGATCTCAGTTTTATCCCAGTTGAAAATTAGAAACACCTATTTTATTCTCAAAAATTACGTAAACTTCCCCTCAAATTTATTTTTCGTAACATATTTTCATGTTTCAACAATAAATAAATAAATAATTCTCATTTTACTCCTTTATTTATCATTACAAATATTATTATAAAATATGAAGGTTTTTTTTTCTTTACAAAAGTTACTTGTTTTACAAATACGTTTGCAAATATCTAAATATCTGCATAAATAATGAAATAAATGTTTTAGAATAAATTAGTAAAGCTAATTAAAAGTCACTTTTGAGCAAAAAGATGAAAAAATGAAAATTTTTAAAACTATTACAATTTTTTTTTTTTTTTTTTTGCTCATTAAAACGGATATAGTTTTATATTTAGGATATATAAGAAAATGGTAAAATATGAAATTATGCTAATTAATGGAAGTTTCTGTAATTTTAAAACAAGAGAGCCAATCTTGGTAATTTTAATTAACTTCGAGTGGAGTGTATATATATATATATATATTCCAATAAACTTATAGGATAATCTAATAGGAGTTGTCTCCTTTATATTTCAATTATGCCTAATTATCGCACACGAAACAATAATAAATGGAGTTCAGCTATCTTCTTCGGTTAGAATAATAAATGAATGCTATTTTCATAACATACCAATCATCTATCTGTCCGAAAATCTAAGTATATTGATAATAGAACTTACTGTAAGTTCCCAAATAAAGATATTTATTTCCAGAAGCACATCCAATTCGAGCCTCCCATCGATCATTATGGTGGTGCCTGTTAAATTCCAACAAAAAATGGTCGGCACTTGTTTCTTGGTAGAACTATTTGATTCAAGAAAAGTGTCACATTTTTAATGTTTTCCACCCTCAGCCCACCAATAAAAATCCATAAACCCAAGATAAAAATGATCAAAAAATTGGGTCCCACTCAACAAATTTTGTGTGCAAAGCATAAAAAAATTCACAAAAAATACTAAGAATCTGTACTTGAATGGAAAATTCACATGAAACATTTTGTTACCTTGCCACACCACGGTACTTGGAAACACCTCTTGAAAATCCGTTACTTTGTCGTCTAAGCGATGCTAAGTATTCTTCCTTTGTCATTTTTTGCATTTCCTCAATTTCAGTCAAATACATCTCAAGCTGCATTGTCATCGAAAGTTAATTAAATACATTAAATGCACACTTAATGCTTGTGTCATGATCTTTTATAGGCACGAGAGACTCACATGTAACACTATGAAAACACTAAATTCACATTCGTGCATTCAAACATAATGAACGAATTTCAAATGTCAGTTCAAGTAAAGTAGTTGATAACAAAAAATAAATCAAGTCGATTACCGGGAAATTCAGGGGAGTACCAGGTCCCCAATGCTTGAGGGCAGCTAGATCATAGGTTCGAGCCGCAGACTCCTCATTGTCATATGCACCTACATTAAAATAATATCAACAAATAAACAGTAATTAGCATACTAAAGTAATCAAAAATTGCCCAATATCAAAATAGAACAGAAAATTAATTATAAGCAGATATTGAACTCACCCAGATAGACTGCAGCGACAAATGCGTGGACAGAGATCACCATCAAGAGCACAACACATACATTCAGAGTAACAAGAATTCAGAGGCAATGACATAATTAATTATTGCAGAAGATATAATTAATAATTAAATAAGATTATTAATTATTAAACGAAGATCACTGATCTCTTGATTTCACTTGCATTGTTTACTAATTAAAAAGAAAAGGATTTTTTTTTTTTTTTTTTAAAGATGCTACTTTGTTTTCCTTTCTTGTTTTGAATGCTGTTCCATATACTTTTATCCCACAGGTGTGCTTCAAACCTTCCTGTCCATCTGTGCCTGTAAAATATATATTTCTCTTTTTTCAAAACCCAAAGATTAATATATAGAAAAAATTACAAGCATGCAAGTGAAAATTTCAGTTTATTCCATCTGTAAAAGTGAGTGTGTGTGTGTGTGTGTGTAATTACCGGGTGACACCTCTGAAAATGGACCTTCTTGATTTATTAGAATCATCAGCCGCATTCTGAATTTTCTTGGGTCGAACACGTTTAGACTGGGATTTTTTTTGTGTTTTCGGTGAACTGATGCAAGAAGAAGATGAAGAAGAAGGAGGAGATGAATAAGAAGGTGGAGGAGGAGGGGGCCTCTTCATTTTTGAAGCTCTCTCTTTCTCTCTAGAATGCAATGATACAGTAGAAAATATGTGTGTGCC